TTATCAACAACAACAACAACCTCAATATTAAATAATTTCAATCAATTAACAACAAATTCTGATACTAATCCACCAAATAATGAGATAAGTAGGGAAAATGCATGCATTGGAAATAAAAGAAGAAAAGAGACGGTGCTTTTGGATTCAAACACTGGCTCTACTTTACCAAACAAAAGGCCAACACTATCTGCTGCTGGTGGTAAAGTGAATGGTGGAACACAAAATCTATCATCATCATCAACAATATCAACATCAAATAATAAAAATGATAATATAAGATCATCAATGATTACTCCATCGGTTGTCATGTCACAAGTTCGATTGTCTTCTCATAAAGTCAAAGAATTTCTTCTTTCCAAAAATTTATCTGAATATAAGAAAGATCTTAAAGTTGAATGTCATAACGATCGGCAAGGTAAAAATTTTTTAAAAAATTATTATGTATATACATTTTCATATATGTGTACGTATATATTTTTTCTTCTTAGGTCTTTCAAGAATTGTTTGTTCTCTTAACAAAGTAAATCTTTGGAGCGATGTTGTTCCCAATGCAGTAACATTGATTGCTGGTAATGATAAATATGTCGTTATTGGATGTGAGAATGGTAGTATTATAATATATGACCATAGTGGCTTAAGGTAATAAATAATTGTTTTGATTAGATGATAGATAATTTATTCGTTATATTAAAATTTTTCCCTAACAAAAAATTTCATCTATAGATTGTTATTAAATATTGTACTTGACTCGGCTGCATCACATCTATTAATATCAAGGGAATATTTATTATGTTTATCTCAAACGGGAATAATTAATGTTTGGTAAGTAATAGTTTAATGATGATGATGACGATTGTAAAAGGAAGATTTTTTTTGAGAAATAAAAAAGACATGATTATTTTATTTTATTTATAGGAAACTACCAAAATTAGAATCAATAGTATCGTCTGTTTCCATAGTACCTATTATTCAACCATCCAGCACATCGTTAGCTGATCTTCATTATGCATCAATTGAAAAGATATTTATCAGGCCTCGTGGGGTACCAATATTAATGACAGACACAAACGAAGCATGGTGTTATCATCTTAGTGCAAAAACATGGGTGCAGATTTATGATCCACGCTACTCATCAAAAGAAAAAATGAAAACTACCACAGAAGAGTATGGTGGTGACGATACAAGAGGAATATTAAATACAATAGAAAAGATTGCAAGGGATAGAGGTGATAATTATGGTACATTGTCATATTTGGCCCAAGGCGAAAGTAAACTTGGACATTTGTATAATCAATTGTTGTCAGCTGAATTGGTTAGCTCACCTAATGAATACAAAGAAATTTTGTTGAGTTATGCTAAAGCATTAGCTGATGTTGGCAATGGTGAGAAGATAAATATACTCTGTTCAAGACTTTTAGATACATTTGATGTTTGGTATAGTATTAATAATTTATTGTTATGATTATTATTTCAACTAATCTATTATTAATGATTAATATATTCATCAATTTTATTAGTGCAAATGGTGTAAACAGGGATCGTTTTATAGCAGTATGTGATATACGTACACATAACAGATATTTATTTTTTAATGTTTAATCTATTTATTAATTATCAATTCAAAAAATATATTAAATAGGGAATGTCTAAACATGAATTATTAAAAGACGTATTGGCTATCTTATGTAAAACTAATACTAAATAAATTTTAATTTTTCCAATTCAATTCAAATACAATTCAATACAAATTTAAATTCTCTAAAATTTATTAAATTTATAATATCTTTTTATATGTATTCAGCTACTAATCGATCTTTACAACAACTCATTCAAGAATATACTTTGGCTTTAGATAGAATTACAAATGAAAATTAATCATGAATTTAGAAAATTTTTATTGGTTATTGTTAAAGGTATTTCATTGGTTTACAAGATTTATTTATTTATTATTATTATTACTATTGATCCAAGTAATAATCATGGATGTTTTATTGAAAATCATATTGCTTAGTAATTTGGTAAAAAATAAACGTTAATTAAATAAACAAAATGTGTTTTAAATTTTCTATTTTTAAAATAAAGCAAATAAATGAATCTGCCAAATCAATCGATCGATCAATCATTAATTCAAAATATTGTTTTAATTTACTGGTTTTTTAAGCATGGTGAATACAATTAAACCCTGCCACAACGGATTATAATTAAATTCGCGTTATATAATAACGATAAAATGTTACACGGGTCATTTATGCCAGTTCCATAATAATAATAATAATAAATTGTTATCTCCTACTAATTTTACACTAACTGTCAGAAAGATCTAAGGTCTATTACAGTCATACCTCTTTTATATCCTCCTCTTGTACCAGTACTTTGATGGGTATAATTGAGGTGAAAGCGGTTGATCATTTCATGTGATTTTTAATTTAACATTTTTTTTTTTGTAGTTTCAAATGCTTTCCTTCCTTCTTATATTAGAAATAACCGGTTCATTTCCTCTTCCTCTCCTATTTCAATATCTTTGGATTTCTAGACACCTTCTGAAATGAGAATATCTTCGACAATATTTTCATCAGTAGGCAATTCAGTTGTTATGATACCTAAATCAATTCTTTATTGTTAAAAGGAATCAACCAAGTTGCCATATAAAAAAAAGCGAATAATTCATACTAATTTCTTTGTTGTTTGTTAAAGAGAATAATTCATTCATATCAAAAAAAAAAATTAAAACGTTAAATTGCACTTGTATATATGTACAAATAAGTTTAAATTAGGATATAACTCAAGCAATTGGTTTATTAAAATAATATAGGGAAACCGTCACAAGGTTAGGAAACAAAGCGAACATTTGTATTACCAAGGATTTGATATAAATTACTACATTTTTTTGGAACCAACAACAAACCAATAAAACTAAATTAATTAAAAGTGAAGGCACTAATAGTCAATAATAATATTTGTCCAAGAAAACTTTTTTGAATAAATTAAAACTCATTTATGCAAACATTGCTCCGAAATTGTTAATACATCTGATTTGGTGAATTTTCTCTGAGCAGTGTTGACATTAACAAGAAAGCAAAAAACCCAATATTTTTCAGTTTCATGTGTAAAAATAGTAGCAATTAAAATGAATTTTGATAAATCCACTTCTTTATCAAATAATTTAGCATTTTGTTCAGTAACAAAACTGGTAATAAAGCTTCTTCCAAGGCTTCTCTGTTTTGGGAGATTAATGCAAATCTCTTTGGGTTTTGTGGTTATGCTGATTAAAATCGATTAAATTAATCTGGCCTTTTAACAGGGTTTAATTCTTGCTATGTTCTTTCCCAGTCAATAGATTAGCATGAGAAAAAGCTTTAATTTTTTTTCCTTTCAAACCTTGTCGCGGCAGATGAATGGGATACATAAAAAAAAAATTTACTTAAAAATCCCATTATGACAAGGATCTAATTATAGTCTGCTATGGCAAGGAATTCATTTAGAATGTTATTTACATTAAGATTATCATCATCAGGTGATTATATACCACCAGATCTACCACCAGGCATGTGATGGATTCATTAAGCAATGAGGGTGTTTTGGGAGTTACATTTGTATTATATGGTAGTGTCTCAATTGTACATGATTCCCAAACCATTTGGGGTTATGTCATCCCAAATGTACAAAGTGAATTTGGGGCAGTATGTCAAAGAATTCCCAAATTCCAAACTACTAACAACCTCTTTGGTGCATTATTTTATTTTGGGATTTTACATTTGGGATGTGCAAAGTAATTCGGGGTTCTTGATTTTTAATTTGGGCAGCACATATAGTCTCAATACATTCAAATTAGTCTGATGAAGCACTCATTTGTAAAATGAAAGAAGTTGATTGATGTAGGTATACCCTACAAAAAATGTATATATTTGAAATTTGTGTATGAATGTATGAAAGTAGTGTTTATTAATAAAATAAATCATTCTATTTAAATCACTTTTATTGTGGGTCTCTATTTATATCAATAAATCCACTTTCATCATCATCAAGATCAAATTCTATCAATTTTTCCAATGACTCTATTAAATTTTTTTCAGCTTTGACATTTTTTCTCCAGATAAATGATGGATTAATTTCTTCTGCTGAAGGAGACAAGTTATTTATTAATAACTGGAGGCACAAATTTTTTTTTTGTATATCTTTTGTTTATATCTTATTGCGATCGAAATGTGGAATGGGAGTTTACTAGGTATTTATTATTATAGGATTCTTATCAATAAATAAATTTGCCTTTTGTAACTGTGATTGTTCCTTTTTCATAATTAATTAAAATAATACCATCATTTACTGAAGACATTTTTATCGAAGCATTACAAATATTCGAAAGTATTACGGATATTACGAATATTCAAATATATAAAAATTATTTGACTCCGATTTCGGATATAATTTCGATTTCTGACAGCAAAGTCAATAAAACCAAATTGATCAAATAATAATATTTATCCAAAAGGAATTTTCCTGGTTGTTGTCTGCATTAATTCAATCCAAGCTGGAAAGTAAAGGGTCAGATAATTTTTTGGTTTCATGTGTAGAAGAAGTAATGGTAATAAAATAAACTTTGATAAATCTCTAATTCATAAATAATTCAGTGTTTTGCCGTGTATCAAAAACTGGTGATAAAGCTTCTTCTAAAGCTTTATTTGTATGAATCCTGGGTTTTCGTTTTCGTTGCTACGTTGATTAAAACAAATGGAAATGATTTGTTCTTCTCGCTAAACGGTTTATTTCAGGTTTAGGATTATTTTTATTACATTATCATCAATATTATATCTTTATTTACTTTTATGCTCTTGCTCCCTCCATCTTCATTATCATTATTATAAGTGTTTTCATTGCTATTATTTACATAGTCGCCCGTTAATCTGAAGTTCGTTAATCCTAAACACAAAATCTATGTAAATTTACCAAAGAAAAGTGGCAGCGCGAATGCTTTCGGATTGACGGAGCTGGCTATGTATAATATCCACATTTTCTGTATTATTATTATTACCATTATTAGGATACTGTGATGTGAAGGTTCAAAGTTCTATAAGTATAACATCAAATTTTTTTGTTAAACTTATATCAACAATGATTTCTTCGTCAATGATGTTTTTTGAAAACATATAAATAATTAATCTGTGATATAAAATCTTTCAGGTGATGAATACCTTTCTCTATCGATTACATATTCATGGCTTATTTTATTTTGATGATTTCTAAGAAATAGATAAATATCGAGTCAAAGTTTTAAAACTAACTCGATAAATTTAGCTCCAATTCGATTTCTATATTGTTTTTATATTTATGGTAATCTTTTGGGTTTATTAATAACTAATGACGAAAATTGCTAAAAATAATATATAATAACAACAACAACAACAACAATTAATCTGTGGTCATTGTTGTGAGTTTGTGCACGTGAATTTAAAATTCACGCATAATATCATCACTGTACATATTAATATTGGTTCTATCGTATTTCTATCTAGAAAAATGTAAAAACAATTAATCATTTGAAGTTGTTGTATCTCATTATACTTTGTACTTTTACGTAGGTATGATATAAAAACACACATATATGAAACAAACAAGAAGCAAATTTGAACAGCCATTGAGATCAAATTTTTACCTGATAATTCTTTAAAAGAAACGATAATTTAGTATATTCCTGTCAGGTCTTACTTTATTAATGAGAAAACAATTATCCTCGCCATTACCCCAATTCGATATTATCAGTTTGATGAATTTGTATCAACGATAAGTCAGGAAATATAATATTTTTATTTTGCATGCAATTTATAGACATTCAAAATACAAAATATTTTTAACACATCAAGATCTGATGTACCTGGCCAGAATAACTGGAAAAAATCAATTAAAAAAAGGACGCGCACGGAAAATTGCATAAATGAAAAATAAATTATTAGACATTTTTCAACATTATTTTCACGACGATTTAAATTACCATCAAAGAGTTCAAATATAATTCGCTCATTCTTTTCATTTTATAAATATACAATGAATTACTTTGTTAAAAAACATGATGACTATATAAAAAAAACCCCAGCTGAAATTCTACAATTGATTTATTCTAATGAAAAATTTAAGGAATTGAAAAATATCTATCTAAAAAAATTTTATGATTATAGTAAAAAATTATTTCAGTCAAATGAATTTGAGTCATTGGAAAAACCAATTCTACTGGAAATTCTCAAAAGAGATGATCATCAGGAAAATAAATCTCGTGTAAACCTACGCAGGGTTTAAAACTGACCAGCATTGTGCGGAAATGTTAACAGAATTACCAAAATATCGACATAATGCTGGCCAATTCTGAACCCTACGTAGGTTTATGTAAGATTTATTTTCTTGATGATGTCTTTGTTGATGAAATAGTTATTTAGGAAGATGTTCTTAAATGGGGATTATCAAGACATCCCAGAAATCAATAAATCACAAAATTTTATTGATTTAAGTAACACAATAAAGGAGCTTATTTCTTTAATAAGATTTCAGGTTATTTCTAATGAATAAAATTATGCCCTATCAGAAACTTTTTCTGGAACAACATATTATATTATTCAGTTCCTAATAGTCAACAAGCATTAAACTTATTGCCATCAAGAAATCCAAAATTTGAATCAACAACAATTAATGAACAGCTTACTTTGCTTTTTGCAAATTGGATTGATAGAAAAAGTACACCATATACTTTGTTCAGGGAAGTTAAATATAAATTTAAACTTTTATATCATAGTAGTAGAGATGGTTTAGATCATACAATATTTCATCAAAAACGTGATAATATCAACAAAACTCTTGTAGTTAGTAAAATACAAAATTCAAATCAAATAATTGGTGGTTACAATCCACTTGATTGGAATGAAACAGGAAATTTTAAAGCAACAAGTGAAAGTTTTATATTTAATATAAATGATAGAAATAATATCAATACTGCAGAGTTGTTGATAATTCTTGTGCAATTTTTTGTTATTTTTCTTATTTACCCGCTTTTGGTGGTGGTAGTGATATTTATTTTCAATCAAATAACATTTATGGTGTTCCAGAGACTTATAATGACATCAATGTCAATGTAGTACAGTGTTTCTAAAAAAAAAGGGCCCGTACAAAAAATTTCATATCTTGACAATTATGCAAGATAAACAAATAAAAAAATAGATGTGATATGCTATTGCCAATTTTCTATAAAGCTAATTCATATCTTTTTTTTAAAACTTTGCAAAATTTTTGCCTCTGAAATTTTAACACGGAAATTTTTAATAATAAGCCTGACACAAAAATATACATAATAATCATACAAAAAATTATACCGGTGTGTAATGAAAGTTCTGGAGATTATATATATAAACTTTCATACTTCCAGATTTTCTAGAATTTTGTCAATTGGAAATAAAAGGAATTTGATTATTTTGAAAAAAACAATTTAATGTGTAAATTTCTTTAATAATTGCTCTAAAGCCTACATAATAACATGCTTCAAAAATTTCATATGTTATAATCTAAGATCCTCCGATTCTCTGTTATCATATAATTTTGGCTACTTTTTCATTAAAAATAATCATTGTACTTTTTAATACGTATTATTTGTAAAATTTTCAAATTGCTTCAAAAAAAATCGGACATGCACGAAAAATTGCTTCCATAAATCTCTTCAATATTAACAGGTTTGGACCAACCATTTTTTACAAAATTTAAAAGTCGAAAAGACACATATATTCATTTCAGAATAAACTTACACTAACCAAAAAAAAATTGCTATAAATTTTGAAACCTTGCTTGACTTTTCAAAAATATTAATAATGCATTTACAACATAAATAATCATTCTTATTCTAGCGTCATATTACTATTTTTATTACCAAGATCATACTTGCCAACTATATTTTAACTTTATTGAATAAATGATGTCCTATTCTAATACTAGTGGGATAGTAATAGGGCTTCTATTCGAATAAAACTAGCAATTCGAATAAAATGAACGATAATAATAATAATAATTCGAATAATCCAATCCAATTAAAAAATTTTATTCTTTATCAATCTATTTTTCCTTGGTCCTTGAATATAGTGATAATAATAAATAGTAGTAACTGACATTTTCCTTAAGTCATAGTATTAGCAATTATAGTAGTAATATAGATTATAAATATAATTATTGTTTATATTATCTTTTTAAAGAAATAAGACCTATATTTTATAAAATGAATAAACTAATAATTTGGATAAAACGAATAAAATGAATTCGAATAAGAATTTGTATTACGAAAAGAACCCCTATATGGTATTACTTGGCCATTTTTAGTACACTTGAACTTTATATTATAAACTTTATAAAATCATACATAAAACATTAAAATATTGCCAGTATTAAAAAAAAGTAATCCCCTACGCATTTATTAGTAAATAAATTATTATCAAAAAACAAAGAAGCTGAAATGTAAGATCACTCACTTGATGCTTTTGGAATTTATTGTGCGTGAAATGAAATCTATATGAAAATTAAATTAGCCAATCCTCCAAGGCTTACCGGTTTAAATGTCAAGCATACTTGTATAATGAATGATAAGTTGGAAAATACATCGGAAATACCATGGTGGGACTAAAGACTACCTCCGAGGCAAAATATATTTTATTTTGAGATCAAACTTTGTCGTACGAAAAAAGGAAAATCAAACTTGAAAATTTTTGTTACTATTACTATTTTAGGCCAACTGATCATTTATTTAGTATTATATATAGAAACAATAAATTTTAATCAGTCGAAATTAACCATTCTATTTTTAGATTTACGGAAATAAAGATATCTCGGGGGCATATTACCAATTATGTTATAGATTAACATTAAACATTATTGTATAAAAAAAATTTTTTTGATCGAAGCCCTGGTGATTTTTGCTGGAGGTCGCCCAGATGATTATGATCAAGAATTAATTTTAACAGATAGATAATTTAAATCCTTAAAAAACGCGTTATATAACAAATTATTTATTCGGTGTGACAATGTGTCTCTCCCACGCGCCATTTTGGCCAACATGTATGCAATTCGGCGTGTTTAAAATTGAGGTACAAATTTCCCGATTGAACATGATGCTGTTTGTTGTCAGTGTGTAAATATTGTGGCCTGTTAATATCTACAAATATAGCTTTATTATTACCATTAATTTTACCATTTCGTTCGCAACACAATGTATATAAACAAAAAAAAAAAATACTAATACGAGATTCTAACATAATGAACTAAATACTCTGCGGTTTCCTCACGAAAACTGCCCAATCTCCAACTTAATATCCAACCAAACAATACGGCCAAAGAAAATCTGACCAATACCACACCAACGATTACCATCAACGAAACATAAGTTACAACATCAGTGATCATACACCCTATTGAATTAAAATCTACAACACCAACTCTGATTGTCTCCTCTAAACATTTTGCTAATTGGATGCGATCCACATTTTGCTGCATGTAATAAGTTAGATCACGACCTCGATAATTGTCAATTTCGGTCACACTGATTTGCTTTAGTAACGGAATCATCTCAATGTTTGGAACCAAATATTTAAGTTTTCCCAAATCGAGCACATTACCATTATGAACAACAAAATTGCGATCACCTCTTTGTACATCATCCCAATCGAAAAATACGTCACCGACATAAATTAAAGCATTAATATCAGATTTTGAAACGTCGACATCATGACACCCAAAATTAATAGGATTATCAGTAGGCTTAAGATCCGAAAAATCATCAATTGCATCAGTTGCATTACAAGGGAAATAGTTTTGAAGTTTTCCATTTTTGGGTATTAGAATATTTTTACATTCGTTATTTAGAGTTTGAAATAAAAATGATATATCCTTTCCACCGGCCAAACCATTCAATAAATTCCCGCCCTTTTTCTCAGTGATATCAGGTAATTCAACAGGATGTGGATAGTCGGTTAGATCATAGATACTACCTAGTATGACAGCTTGTTGCAGACTGACACCGCCTACACGAACTCTTGGTGGAGGTATGCCACATAAAGCTTGAGTGAAACCAAAAGTCAAGAAACCCACGGCGGCACAAAGAATCAATATTATAGATACCAAAGCCATTTTTTCTCTCCAAGCTCTTTGAACCAATTTATCATGCATACCAAAACAAGATAATAGAGAAGGAGGAATACAACAAGTGACACAGTTGGTATATATTAACCAAGTGGAAAAGCATTGACATTTATACCACTTTCTTTTTTTAGGTGGTTCTCTCGTTGAAAGTCTTCTATTAAGTGGTCGACTCAAACGTCTCTCATCGCCACCGTCGCCATTACCACCAGCCCCGACACTGCCATTAGCAGTAATATTAAGAGCATTTGGAGGAAGGATACTCCATCTCTCAGTGGAATCATCGACAGCAAAATTTGTCACACCTCTACTTATTCTACGTTGATTTCTCCTTGCACGCTCAGGTCTTATAAGAGATTTTTGTCTACGAGGTCCTGATTCAGATTTCGGTATGTCTTGACCATTATTATTATTACCATAATTATTGTTGTTGACGTCGTTATGGTTGTTATGATAATCAATATCATTATTTAGTACAAGAGTTGTTCTTATTTTTGGTACTTGTAAACTGTTATTATTTGTGCTATCATTTGGACGAGGTCTATAGTTCTTTGAGATAGATGGAATTTTATTAAGTTTATTATTATTTCCGCTGTTGGCATTTTCGTCATCCTCTTTATGATTTTTGTTGAGAACCTCCATCTCTAAATTTTCAGATTTGATTCCTTTATAATAAAGGAAAGATATTATTAGTTGAAAGAGTTTTTGATCATTCTTGAATATATTAAAAAGAACAGAAGAAGAACAAGAAAAAACATAGGAAAGGAATAGAAATAAAATCGATCAGATTATCTAAATAAATGTATACACTTGTATATATATATACACACACACACACACACACATATTAATAAATCTATATTTTTATGCAATGCTTACCAGTTGTTAATGCGGTAGAAACAATAGTATTACGTTTGTTTTTGCTTTTGCTTTTACTTTTACTATTACCATCAACTTCACTGGTTACTCTATAGGCATCATTAAAGAAATCTGTAGGATGATCATGATTTTCCAAATCGCCCGTTTCTTCTTCTTTTATTATTCTGTCATTATTATTATTATTATTATTATTATTATAATATGGTAAAATTGAAGAAATTCTTTTTGATTTTTTAAAATTTGAATTTTCCGAATCTTGTGAAAAACTTTGATATTTTTGATTCTGGCTTGGATCCTTTGATGCTGTCAAATTAATTTTATTATTGTTATTATTATTCAACCCATTCTCTGAATTATTATTATTGTTGTTGCGATAATCGTTTGCAATTAAAGATTTTGAAGTAGTAGAATCATCAAAAGGATCACTGTAATTATTTATACTACGTAGTGGTGATACAGTTAATGATGATGATGGTGATAGCGATCTATTATTATATAATGTTGATGATGTATTTGATGAAGATGAAGATGAAGCAGATACTGATTTTTTTAAATTTGGATTTGGATTTGGATTTTGATTTTGATTTTTATATACATTCTGATTTTGATTTGAATATTGATTTTGAATATTAGTAGTTATTATTGACGATATTCTTTTATTGTTGTTTGAAGTGTCTTTATTTTGAAATGAACCTGAATTTCTATCTGTCATTATTTTTTATCTGGTTTTCTTAAATTATCAATATGCCGTGTATATATACTATGTATGTGTGAAATTATGTACGTGAGTTATATAATTGTAGCAATAAACGATATTATTTTAAAAAATTAATTAATTAAATTATCTCTAATTTCGCTCGTTATATTATATGTGAATTATTTACGTGTTTTTTTTCTTTTTCTTTTCACTTTTTTATATATGATATTATCTAAAGATTATATAATTTTAACAAAAAAATAGCTAACTTTAAATTTAAATATAGATTATTAAACTAAAGAAAAGAGTATATAACTAAATATTTATTATT